TTAGTGTGTGTGTGTGTGTGAGTGTCGGACACAGACATCAACACTTATGGTTACATTTAATTTATTCATTTTTTCAAATAATCATCGATGTCGACGTGTTAGCGTCAATGTTGTGTCCGGTGTGCTTGTCTGTGTTCGTGCTTCATAGTATGTGTTCGTGATTCGTAATATGGATAATGGGTTTGTAATTCTCATTTGGGGATGAGTGGGTAAGTTTATGTATTCAATTTGATGTACTCTAATTTATGAAGGGATGCCAAACTGATTCTTAACTTGAAAATGATTTACTTTTTCATCTTACAATTATTGCAATCAGTGTTATTTTGGTTTTACTAAGTAAGACAATAATGAGTTATGAGACGATGCCACTTAGTGGAATAAGGCTTGGTTGCTTTTGTAGTTTTGTTGAAGTAAGACAATAATGAGCTTCAGTTAGGGTCAAATTGATTCAAAATACCCGAGTTTGATCTCTGGCTGGAACAATCCTTGACTAGACTTTACTTATATCCGGACCCAAACTTAGGATTACTCAGGATCATTTTCCACTGGAACCAGTGCGTTAAGAGGGAAAAAAAAGTAAGACAACAATATTTTATTCATTTCAAAATTTCCACTTTGTACTTTTTCCACCTACTTAACCGAGGAGGTCTTTGTTGCCTTGTTAAAATTACCATTATGGTCTTCGATTTTGTTAGTGCTGGTTGATTGGGAACATGGAAATGCCTGATTATCAGAATGAGTTATACATTGTAGTTTGCACATATCTTATTATGGGTGAACATTGGCTCACATCATGCATAGGTGACTGACATACACGGAGTATGTGTGTGGAGAAAATGCCGATCATCTGTATTCCGATTGTGGAAGCTGTGAAGATATGAGATGGAATGTTTATCAGTATGTTATTCTGTATGATATCACTGGTTCATGCGAAATATATCAATCAATCTCACGAGAAAATCTAAAATACTCCCAATTACACATAGGGAAGATGCTGTCAGATACTTTGCAAATTGCAATCATAATAGAGATTGGATTTAGAACTGTCAAAATGAGCCAGTATTAGTCCTATATTCACCATAATATGTAAACCTTTCAACATATAAGCTATGTTCGACCTCCATTTCCTTTTTTATTTGTATGCAGTGTGGTTTTTATATATAATTGACTTATATCAGCTGCTATGCAGCTTTCGCTATTTGTCTGCAACACTATCTGTTATTTCACATAGCAGATTTTGAGTGCTCTGCAATTTGCTATTGATAACATTGGAATTAATAAATCATATCAATTATCATTTATTCTACATGTTACTATAAATAGAGGTAGACACAAAAATCACAATTCAAAAATCACAATTTCACTCACAACATGCTACATGGGCTGTCAAAATTATAGCCCAGCCCACGCTATTTCAGGATTAGATGAACTTCCCAGTGAGCAAGAGTGACGGATGTCAGTCCATGGGCCAATGATCATTTTGACACCTCCACCAAGAATCTAAAATGCTAACCGGCTTAAATAGCTCTATAATAATTTCTCAGGAAACTCGAAGCATATAATCATGTCATGCCATTGCCAAAGAATGTCATACACAATGTGGTGAATATCTTATTGTGACATAAAATATGCAAGAAAGCCATTTTTAAAACTGCAGAAAACAACAAATGTCTTAAAGTTGACTAGTAGATTGTATCATTGATTATATGTTGTTCAAATTAAGCACTGAAAATGATTAAAGAACGCATCTCCTTTATGCATTCTGACAATCATCTCTATAGGTTATCTATTTGGCACTAGTGTGTAATTCATTCTTTTAACTTTTAACTGTAGAAACATCTAAATAAAGGAGGAAAAACTGTTAGACCTTCAGAATTACTAGGAACCATTTCTATTCTGCCATGCAATTGTATTTTATCTTTCTGTCAGTTACATTTTATTGATTAGTTAATTAATGCGTGTAAGTTTTATAGGCTGTTATGCTCAATAAATAGGAGATAGCAAAGCATAGTGGGTTATCTGGGAATTAGTGAGTGGTATTGGGAGAGACCCAACTCTCGAACATTTGGGAAGGGAGAGATCCATGACTCTCGAATTCTTGGAAGGAACCAAACTGGTCCCTGTCATTGTGTTTGTGTTATTTCTGTTTTGTACCAATAAATATCAGAAATTGTTCCAATTTTATGTTGTAAAAGAACCAGTTTCCATCAAAAACATAGTCCACATCACGATACAACATTAAAATATACACGGAAGTTTCTCGATCACATAGGGTAGACAACGGAAATTGTATTCATTAAAATTTATTTTCATGTTTTATTATAGTACATACAGGTGTACATACATACGCAATAATGAGTCTAGTATTGCTAACAAAAGCTCATGATTGTTGTTTTGTGACAAACCCTTTGCTTTAAGCCAAAGTCCATGTGAAAATATAACTTTGCTTAGTCTATATAAAAACAACTATACCTGGAACTATATATAATGCAAGCCGTGTCATAAACAAATATATGAGTCTAGTATATGCCTATAAGTAAGGTTTAATGCTCTATGTTTCACAAAATCCTTCACGTTAAATCAATATCAGTTCAAGTACATTTAGTATCTATTCATTTCATTCTATTCTTCTTTCTTTCCTGAATCCCTACACTTCAAATAATATACTCAAATATTTACAACTCAATGTCAAAATGTTTCCTTTTTTTTATTGCCTAAATTAATTATTATGTTTTCTCGGGAATGTAACTCTCGGATATTTTTCTCCTTTTTTTCAGCTATTTAACTGCATCAATGGGACTTCAGGTGCTCTGGAGCTTTGGACTTGCATGTCTTGATATTTATGCCTTGAGGAAAAAGAGAGACTTACAAAATCCAATTCTTGTTAGCCTGTTTGTCGTAGGCGATTGGGTAATAATCAGACCACTCTTTTTCCTATTTTCATGTCGAAAAAACGTGTAGTTTATAAAATGAAACAACTCAAAAAGATAAAACTAGTTCTAATTTTTTGTTGGGAATTGCTAAGTGCTAACTACTTGTAATCTTTGAAGCACCGACACAAGTACAAACACCAGAAACACGACATCGACACTGACATGTAGACACCAATAGAATGTAACCACGCGTGTTGGTGTTATGTCACACACCAAACATGCGTCGAACACTGAATACATCTCTAATCTAAACTACAAATCTCATTTTACACGGTTACGAACCTTTGTTATCTTCTTTTATGACTACATTTTTTTATTTTGTAAAAAAAATTTGGGATATGTGGTGAAATCATTATAGTGACTTTATGCTATATACAGGTAACAGCCATTTTGTCACTAGCAGCCGCATGCTCATCAGCAGGAGTCATAGTTTTATATACAAGAGACGTGGATATGTGCTTGACTCATAAGATAATCCCTTGCCACAGGTACCAGGTTTCTGTTGCCATGGCTTTCGTCACCTGGTTTCTTACCGCAATATCATCACATGTGATGTTTTGGATATTGGCCTCAGTGTAGCCTGACTATCACACACATCAAATATCTTTGATATCTTTCTGACATGTGGGGCGAAATTTTCTTTACGGTCCCTTCTCAAAACTCTTGATGGGTGGTTTTTGAGTTGTCAGTTATCAAAGCGATCTCTTTGCAATTCAGTTCTTGGTTAAAAAAAAACTTGCCTCAATCTAGTTGTAGAGTTTTGGTTTATAAGTTTTAGCTTTGGATATGATTCTGTGACTTTTTTCTTTCTTAATGTAGGCAAATTATCTCACTCATGCTACATTTTTGCTGTTGTACATAATCTTGTTTAGTAATTTAGTATCCTGGAAACCTTGAAAAGAGATTGTGCAGTTCTCATTTCACTTAATGATTTATAAAATTCATGCTATTTACATAACGGTATGCTAATCTACTTTGACACTAATGGGGCGGTATATGGTACAGTTTTGTCATGTAATCGAATCAAACCGAATCAAACTATAGTAAAAGGTCATTCAATCCGAATCAAACTGTTTCAATTAATCCAGAACCGAACCGAAACAAAATTATTGGTTTGGTATACAGGTTTGAAAGTCCGAATCATGCCAAACTATTAAAAGATAGTTTTCTTTAAACCGAACAATTTGTTAAATAACCAAATTGTTATATTTTTTAATGAATTTTTTTTTTAAACTTTAAACTTGTTTTTAGTATGTTTCATTTTTAATTTCAGTTTGGTTTTGATTCTGATTCGATTCTAAATCTGTTTGTGTAAGATAGTTTGATTCACTGATTAAATATAACTCGATTCTAAATCTGTTTGTGTAAGATAGTTTGATTCACTGATTAAATATAACGCTTCAGTGCAATTTCAGGATTTTTTTTAATAGCCCTACTTACTAGCGATATACTATAGGCTGAGGATTTTTTAATTCAAAGGACTAAATTCTCATTTTACAATTTGAAGGGACTAAATTGATCTAACTTTATTTTTGTTTCAAAAACCAGCATTATTTAATATTTTCATGTTGGATTGGGTTTACATGTTACTTCAATGAATAAATAAAAATAGCATGAGTGAGATTTCAATGAAAGGCATGTATGCAAATAGAATGTTTTACACGCCATCTTCTACCAAACCTGAATATAAAATAAACAAACAAATAAATATTATAAATCATTTTTTGTATTCATGACCAATATTTACAATTGCACAATTAACATAAATTTTCATTGTTCCATGATAAACCTTTGATCAAGACACATACCCCATATAACATTTTATGACCCTTTGGCCATGAAACACATACAATATTGTCACAAGCATTCATGACCAATATTTACAATTGCACAATGCTAACAAACTACACCAAGCACCAACACAAACGTATGACTCCTTTTTTAGGTTAGTCACACACTTGAACATGCAAATTAAACCACAAACATAAACACTTAAACATTGCAACAAGTAAAATAATAATCAAACAAACCACATTCATTTAAGCATCACAATACTATAAGCCATGTTCATGTTGAAACCCTTCGCGAATTGATAGAGCGACGACGTGGAGATCGAACATCATCGCCCGAAGAAGATATGATGACTTTGGTAGGGTTCGAGGAAGGTGAAGAAGAATAAATGGTTTGAAACTGACCCGAATCACCGGCGGGAAGTTTCATGTAAGAGTAAGAAGGTGAGTCACAAAACCAAGAACTTATGTTAGTCCTTTCTTTGCCATTTTTGTATTGGACTACGGCTTTGTACACAAATGGAATAAGACCCTCCATTTTTTGATAGAGAAAGTGTTTTTGGTTTGGTTTGTGAAATGGATGAGTTGAATAAGGTGAGAGGAGAATAAGAAGGGTTGAAACTTTAAAGGTGTTTTGGAGGGTAAGAGTATGATGAAGTGGAGTAATAGAATGTATTGGAGTATATTACTCTTCACGCTAAGCCTAGGGAAGTTTCATTTTCAATGTTAACCTACAAGAAGATTTTGAAAGCTATGTTCAAACCACATTCATTGCGCACAATGAATATTTAATGGGAAGAAAATCTTTAGAGGATAGTTTTTGTGTTCATCCCATTGTTTTTAATGGGTTTGAGCTTTCAATACAAGATTGGTAGGTTTTGATAGGATGTTTTTTCATCTATAATTTTATTTTGATTTTATTATACTAGTGACTAAGTAGTGACAATGATTTATCATAGTTGATTTTATTTTTAAATTTATATTAATTTGATTAGTTCGATCAGAAATCATTAGTGAAATGATAGATTTAAGAGTCGCGGGATAAGCTTCTCATATGGCATAAAAATGGTGAATCTAAAGCGTGAATCGGACTGAACTATTATTCAATTTTTAGAATCCAATTTATTTTTATGATATTTATTTTAGAGAAGTTCGTCTCCTAACCAAGGCTTAAAATTAAATTGATTGAATCCAACAAACGCAGATCACCCAAAAATGTCCAATTCATTAACTTTTTGTTTAAAGTCAAATTCTCTTTATTGCTATTTATTTATTTTTTAAATCCAACCATTATGAATGTGTACTCTCGAAAGAGAGTATTGTCTTTCAAGTTGTACGTAGACATATTTGTTCTAGCTAAGACATGTTTTTCCTAGTCAAATAAACCGATACTATTTTGTTTGGGGTTACATAGGAGTATTTCTCACTTACTCACATTTGTATTATTATTCTAACATTCACTCTCAAGTGTGAGTCTATAATACACCTTCACTTGTACCGTCGTTGATATTTTACAACGAAACATCTCTTTTTAGACATTTTGATATTAAGTCAGTCTCTTTCTCGAATTAAAGACCCATGATACCATTTGTTGGGGGAGTTACATTAGGAGCATTGATACATAATATATGATTAAACACATTTGTGAAAGACACACCACTTGTCCACCTAAAATCTTAAGGTGATAAGTGAGTGGGTTCTCCTACTTATATATGCTTAAGTCCCCACATTCCTATCCAATGTGAGACTATTTCCCCACTTACTCACACTTGCATTATTATTCTAACACCCCCTCTCAAGTGTGAGTCCATAATGCCCCCCCTCAAGACACTTGTACCACCATTGGCCCCTTGCAACAGAACTACTCTTCTTGGTCATTTCGATACTAAGTCGGTCCCTTTCTTGTTGAAATATTAAAGTAGATTTGATTAGATTTGATTAGATTTAATATTTAAATATAATCCAAGTTGTGTTAGCCCAAGCCCAATTAAATTTGTATATAAATAGTCATAGTATATATCTTTATTTTGTACAATTCATTAAGTGAATAATACAAATCCTGATTTTCTTATTCTCTCTCGATTCTCTCCTCGCTAAAAGGGCCTCACACACACTAACAAATTGGTATCCAGAGCTTCCGATTATTATTCTTGATCGATTTTTCAAGAATTTCACATCAGAGATCGTGTTTTCAGGGAAAGTGAACCAACCGCTGCAAAGATGGCTAGTGATAAGGGTATTCTGAATTCTCTTACAATGCTTGCCGGCAAGAATTGGATTCGATAGAAAAACAGATGCTCCTTGTTTGACTTCCATGAAACCTTAGAAGTGGTACCGACGACGTTCCTGCGTTGTCTGCAAATGCAACCGATGAACAGAAAAAAGTCCACAATAAAGTCAAGAAGAAAGATTGCAAGGCTGCTCATTGCATTCAGACGACTGTCGATGCTGCTAATTTTGACACAATCTCTCATGCTGAAACAACGAAGGAGACATGGGATATTCTGGTGAAGTATTATGAAGGAGGTGAGAAAGTCAAGATCAAGTTAAAAACTTCGTGTCGACAATATGAGTTGTTGTCAATGGGAGAAGATAAAAAAGTTGCAGAATATGTGTCGAAGGTTCAGAAATTCGTCCATCTCATGAAGCATTGTGGTGAAAGCATAACTGATAAGATGATAGTTGAGAAGGTAATGAGAATGTTGACCTCCCACTTTGATCACATTATCGTTGCTATTCAAGAATCTGATAATCTTGAAACCACAAAAGTGGAAGATTTGGTTGGTTCATTGGAGGCGCATGAGATGAGGATTGTCGAAAGGAAAGGAGTTCAGGACTCGATACAGGCGCTGCAAGCTTAGTCATGGAAAAAGAATGTAGATTCCAACAAATTCAAAGGCAAAGTTGTCAAGACTCGTGGAAAGAAGTCTTGGTCGAACCCTCATAAGCATCAGGTCGAAGATAGAGCTTCTGAATCCTCGAAAAGAGGAGGAGGAAACTATCGAAAGGAAAAAGAAGATAAAAAAGGTGTGCAATGCTATAACTGTAAAAAGTGGGGTCACGTAGCCAAGAACTGTTGATACAAAAAAGACAAGGGATCGGTAGGAAAGGACGAAGGAGAGAACCTTGCACACCAAGATTCATATGATTCTGAAGGTGGTATGGTGGTTATGGCTGCAATTGCAGATAACCATGTCAAATTCAAGATCTAGTTCCTTGACTCAGGCTGCTCGAATCACATGACTGGTCAAAAGGAGTGATTGGCAGATTTTGACGAGTCGAAGAAGAGTAAGGTAAAACTTGTTGATAATAGTTCGTTGCAAGCAGAAGGAACTAGAAACATAGTCTTTCAAATAAATAATAGAGAGAAAAATATGATTAAATATGTGCTCTATGTACCTGGAATGAAGTGCAACCTGCTAAGTGTTAGAAAACTGGTCGAAAAAGGTTTCTCAGTTGTTATGAAAGATAGAGTTTTGAAATTGTTCGACACCAAGAAAAATTTGGTCTTAAAATCTCCGTTGTCGAAGAACAGGACATTTAAGACTATGATCAATTCGACAGAAGTTCAATGTTTGAAAATTGTTGTCGACCACAAGGATAATTGGTTGTGGTATTTAAGGTTTGGACATTTAAATTTTCAATCACTCAACTAACTGATTACTGAAGATATGGTATCTGATATCCCAAGTCTTGAGATACCCGAAAAACTTTGAAGGTTGTTTAGTCGGAAAGTAATCTAGAAACTCTTTTGTTTCGACTATGCCAATGAGATCATCATGCATACTCGAAGTGGTACATTCAGATGTATGTAATCTGTTCAAAGAACATACTATTGATGGAAACAAATATTTTGTTTTGTTTATCTATGAGTTTATTCGAAAGTTGTAGATCTATATGATCAAGAGAAAATACAAAGTATTTGAAATCTTTAAGAGATTCAAGATGCTTGTCGAAAATCAGAGTGAGAAGAGGATTAAAGTTCTGAGAACAAAGGGAGGTGGCGAATACACTTCGAAGATGTTTGAGAAATTATGTGCAAAACATGGTGTTGATCATGAGGTAACTGCTCCTTATACTCCTCAACATAATGAAATTGCTGAAAGAAGAAACATAATCATATTATATATGGTGAGATGCATGCTGAAGCAGAAGAATTTGCGAAAGTCTTTATGGGGTGAAGTTATTTCGACTGCAGTTTATATCCTGAATAGGTGCCCTACCAAGATTTTGAAGAACAAGGTTTCTAAAGAAGTATGGAGTGACAAATGTCCATCAGTGAGTCATTTGAAGGTGCTTGGCTCTATGTATTACAAGCATATTCCTGATGCGAGAAGAAGAAAGCTTGATGACAAGAGTGAACCAAAGATTCTGGTAGGATATCATAAGACTGGTGCATACAAGCTAATCAATCCAATTAATGAGAAGATTGTGTTAAGTTGAGACATTGTGATTGATGAAATTTTTTCCTGGGATTGGAATTCTAATGATGCAATTAACAAGCCATTGATGAGCTACGATTACGACGAAGAAACTGATGAAGTCGAAGTCAAAGAAATTTTTAATGTTCCAATCAAAGTTGAAGCAGTTGCTGAAATTACAGAAATAATCGAAGTCAAAAAGGCCGTGGCTGATATAAGCCAAAGACCTTAAAGAAATAGAGTTCCTCCAACAAGACTTCATAATTATGAAGTAGTAGGTGATGATGAAGTCACACTAGATGGAGAATTAGTTCCTTTTGCTTTATTTACAGGTGCTGAACCAATCAACCATAAAGAAACTTTGAAGATTAAACATTGGAAGTTGGCTATGGTCGAAGAGTTACAGGAAATTGAAAGAAACAATGCATGGGAATTAGTCAAATTTCCAGCACACACAAAAGCTATCAAAGTGAAGTGGGTGTTCAAGTTGAAACACAATGTTGATAGGTCGATAGCAAGACATAAAGCAAGATTAGTAGCTCGAGGGTTTCTTCAAAGAGAAGGACTTGACTACTCTAAAGTATTTTCTCCAGTAGCAAGATTGAAGACTGTTTTACTAGTGGTAGTATTGACATGCAACCGATGATGGTCGACATTTCATTTAGATGTGAAATCAACATTTCTGAATGGTCCTTTAGATGAAGAGGTCTATGTCACACAACCTTCAAGGTTTGTGATTCAGAAGGAAGTGAGTAAAGTATATAAGTTGCACAAAGCGCTCTATGGCCTCAAGTAGGCACTTAGGGCATGAAACAAGAAGATCGACTCATGCTTAATCGAATTGGGATTTGTGAAATGAATATCTGAGTATATTGTCTATGTTTAGGTTGTAGCACAAGATATAACAATCATCTGCTTATATGTAGATGACTTGCTAGTAACTGGAAATAATTTGGAAATTTTGTCGAAATTCAAAGAGCTGACGATAAAGGAATTTGAAATGTCAAATCTGGGAAAATTGTCTTATTTCCTAGGCATGTAATTTCAAATGTCAAAGCAAGGTATGATGCTACATCAAAGGAAGTATGTTAAAGAGATACTCAAGAGATTCAAAATG